ACCATGGCCCGGATTAGAAAATATTTTCATTGGCCTGGAGTGCGCTCGGATGTGACACTGTTCTGTAAAAGCTGCCCTCAGTGCCAGAAGTCTTCTCTTAATCCCTCTCCAGAGCTCCTCTCTAGTCTCTACCAATTATCAGCACCCCATTTGAACGGCTAGGAATGGACGTTGTTGGTCCTCTAGAATGAAGCAAAGCAGGCAACCGTTACATGCTGGTTGTGACAGATTACGCTACAAAATATCCAGAGGTCTTTCCTTTGAGATCAATAAAAGCCAAAGCAGTCGCCTTCTGTCTCATACAGTTCTTCTCAAGGGTTGGTTTTCCTCGTGAGATTCTTACTGACCGTGGCACTAACTTTATGTCCACTTTGTTGAAGCAGATAGAATAGAATAATCCTTTAATTGTCCCACAAGGGGAAATTTGGTTGTAACAGCAGCCAAAAAGACACACATACAAACAGGACACAGAACAGAAACATACACAATTTTTCTTACATATTTACATTAAGGACAATGGTTACTATATACAGAGAGTACTGTGCAGTTATTAAATTAAATAAAAATAACTACAGATAAGAGGCAAACCAGGTTGTAGTGTGAATCGGTTAATTAACTTATTGCAGTTACAGCGCAGATGTAAACATCTGTTTGTTGGGAGCAGTTCTGATTGTACAGTCTGACAGCTGCAGGGAGGAAGGAGCTGCGGAAACGCTCCTTCGTGCATCGAGGATGCAGCAGTCTGTCACTGAAGGAGCTCTGCAGTTCAGCAACATTTACATGCATGGGGTGGGAGACTCTGTCCATCAGAGATGTTATTTTGGCCAGAGTCCTGTCTCCCACCACCTGCACTGGGTCCAGGGTGCATCCCAGAACAGAGCTGGCCTTCCTGATGAGTTTATCCAACCTCTTCCTCTCAGCTGCTGATAAACTGCTGCTCCAACATACAACACTGTAAAAAATGACAGATGCCACCACAGAGTCATAGAAGGTCTTTAGAAGCGCTCCCTGGACTCCAAATGACCTCAGCCGCCTCCGCAGGTCGAGTCTGCTCTGACCCTTCCTGTAAAGAGCATCAGTGTTGTGGCTCCAGTCCAGTTTATTATTCAGGTGAACACCCAGGTACCTATAAGAGTCCACTATCTCAATGTCCACTCCCTGGATGTTCACCGGTGTCAGTGTGGTGGGTCTGCGTCTCCGGAAGTCCACCACCAACTCCTTGGTTTTCCCGGCGTTGATCAGCAGGTGGTTCTGCTGTCACCAGTCAAAGTCCAGAGTCCACTGTCTGTGCTCTGAGTCGTCCTCACCTGTGACCTCACCAGGTGTACCAGCTCCTTGGGATTAAGAGCCTGAGGACAACGCCATACCACCCTCAGACAGATGGCCTAACAGAGCGCTTCAATCAGACCCTGAAACACATGTTATGCAAATGTGTCAATGAAACTGGTACAGACTGGGATCAGTGGCTGCCCTACCTCCTCTTTACTTATAGAGAAGTACCTTCAGGCTTCTACAGGTTTTTCACCTTTCGAACTATTGTATGGCCATGAGGTACGAGGCTCCTTGTCTCTTCTGAGGGAGACCTGGGAGGGTGACCAAGAAAGATCACAGGCTGTCAATGTTGTCCAGACGGGAACGGTTGGAGAAGATGACGGAGCTGGCCCAAGCCCAGCAGAAGCACAGCAGCACCAGAAGGCCTGGTACGACCAGTCAGTGGTCCTGGTGCCAAAGAAGGATGGCAGTATCTGTTTCTGCATAGACTTCAGGTACCTGAATGCAATATCAGTTTGATATCCAACTCCCCGCATTGATGACATGGTTGAGCGCCTTGGGAAGGCCACATCCCTGACAACAATAGACCTCTGCAAGGGTTATTGGCAGGTACCACTGACCAAGCGCTCAAAAGAGCTGACTGCTTTCCGGACCCTGTGGGGCTTGTTCCAGTTTAGAGTCATGCCCTTTGGACTGCATGGTGCCCCGGCAACATTCCAGAGACTGATGGACCAGGTACTGTCTGACATGTCTGATTTTGCTGCAGCCTACCTTGATGACATTGTGATTTTCAGTTCTACCTGGGAAGAACACCTGCAACATCTGGGGAAGGTATTGGGGCGTCTTCAGTCTGCAGGGTTGACTGTTAATCCAGCTAAGTGTGCCATTGCCAAGGCTGAAACTGAGTACCTTGGGTTTGTGATTGGAAATGGAGTAATAAAACCTCAAGGCGATAAGGTCACCGCCATAGAAAGCTGTCCCTTGCTAGAGACCAGAAAACAGATGAGATCGTTTTTGGGTATGGCAGGATTCTATCATTGGTTTATCCCTCATTTCCCTGCCGGGGCAGCTGTTCTGACGGATCTGACTGGTGCCCGAAGTCCCAATAAGATCACCTGGACAGAGGAGGCTAAGATGGCTTTTCAGGACCTACGACAATCTCTGAGTAAGAGCCCAGTCTTGCACAGCCCTGATTTTGAGAGACATTTCATTCTTCAGACTGATGCCTCAGAGAGAGGATTGGGAGCTGTTCTGTTAAAGAGCGTCATCCAGTGGCCTTCATCAGCCGCAAGCTGTTTCCGAGGGAAGTGGACTCCCTGGACTCCTTTAATCTTCTTGGACGGGAATTCATACTGGAAACGGACCACAAGGCTTTTCAATGGATAGAGAGAATGAAGGACACAAATGGAAGGATCACGCGATGGTACCTTGCAATCCAGCCATTCCGGTTCACCATCAACCACATCCCCGACAAGGATAACTGCACTGCAGACTCTCTCTTGCTGTCCCAGGGAGAGACCTGAAGAGGAGGCGTGTGTGATGGCTGCCCTTACAGCCACACAGTGATTATTTTCTGTTGTTTTGACCTCTTTTATGGGCCCAAGATTTTGATTCTTTCTGCATGATTTGACCAATTATGTTTTTGGGTTAAATGGGGGGGAAAAAAAAATCTTTTTTTTGGACTTTAACCTGTGCCTAAGTTTCCTTCGCTGCTCGGTCCATCACAAGTGGCATGTAATGAAACAGCAGTGACTCAAATGAACCCTTGCTGGTCAGCTTTCTCTTTAGTCCTACTCTCCAGTAATTGTGTGCAAAATGCTTCTGCTGTTTTATTTAATGACTCTGTGTCCTTCAACATGACTGACACAAGGTCAGGATCCTAGATCGTGGAAAAGAAAAATGCCGTCTCTGGACAGCTCTACTTTTTCTTCCTTTCAAGTCAGACTGAAGGCAGATTGCAGTGACTCACACCACATCTTTTTAGAAACTTAGCAGCCTACTGCCAGGAGACATGGCTGCAACACAAAGGTCTGATATGCCAAAATGTATACTTTTTCACAGCCAGGTCATAATTGTTATTCATGTCGTATTCGTGTTTTTTATGATATCACATTTGGACCTTTAATCTGTACAGGACTGCTCTCGTAACCTTTAGGTTCAGCACAAAGAAGCGTGCCTCTAAATGTCTGAACTGAAATGTTTTGTTGTCTGACGCATGGAGACAAATGCAGCTGTCAGAATCACAAGTCTGTTCCTACTGCTGCACGGGATTAACTGCCTTGCTCAAGATCACCTTATAAATCTGTAGTGGAATGATACTGTATTTCACAAAAGTGCTTTATTATTTGTGTATTTTAGGTCTCAGGTCCAATAAAGCTGTGGGCTCTGACTAACCTTTGACCCCCATTTCTCCTACATTTTTATTTTATTTTTTTGTCTGTGTGCTATGATAATTAAATAACTGAACTGTTAAGGAAGAGACACACATTAAATAACTAATGAACTAACAAACTAGATAAATAGAAATATTCGTTTTTATATTGTTTTCATTTGAACAATTATTTCAATAATAACATGATTGTGTTTTTCATTGAAAGGGTTGTAAAAAATTCTATTTTTGTAGAGTTGGGATGAGCAAGGAAATTTCCCTTTAAAGTAAGACAACATGGATTATGTTATGTCCTTGTTTGCAGAAGAACACTGTTACTGGCAAAGTGAAAAACAAAGAAAACAAAACTGAAGATTTCAGGGGAGAAAACATTACGCTTTTCATTTTACATTTTCACAAATCTGCATGTTTTTTTTTCTTAATTTATATTTCAGTAGCTCATTTATAGTTTCCACAGATTATTATTGTAGAGACTTTACAGGACAATTTAAAGCACCATGAGGTGACTGTGATTTAGTGCTATACAGATAAAACTGACGATAAACCAAGAAACACTGTTCTGTGGTATGACTCCGGGGCTCTACATAAGCAAGGAACATCATGCAGATGGCGTCTTCTAATTCGACTTATGTGCCAGACTTTGTAGAAATCCCGTAGTTTTTCCTTTTAAGAGAAGTTCTGGGTACTTTATGAGAGAGGTGAGGTCAATATGAGGTGTGAGTGCAATCCGATCTTTTAGGCACGTAAGTCTGATGAACCTGAGTCCGCATGCACGCACAGGATTCAGCACGCATGGTCTGTCTGCGTTTACCCTCCACTGTTGTGTGGAATGTGTAAAACGTGGACACTGTGGATCAAACTCAGACAAACTGCAGTGTAAATGTTTCGGATTGAAGTTCAGAAAAAACTAGCTGATTATCATCACTGCTGTTAATCAGATTACTGTAATTGCTGCGGGACAGTCTCCCGCTGCTGCCATGTGGGAACCCAGTCTCGATTTTCTGTTTAAAATGCACTCGAATGCCTCCTTGTTGCATGTCACGTGTTTCTGTGCCTGTTTAAAGTATGTGTACAAAAACCCGTGTCTGTATGGTGCAGAGCAGTGCGCTTTCCGTCCGTCTGTCCTCAGCACCATGGAGAGCGCGCTAACATGCGCAGCTGAGTCCGGTCCGGAGAGCTGATTCCCGCTGCTGCCAGAATGTGGAGGGAAAGAAAAAGCTTTATTGTGAACATTAAAGTGAACTCTCTCGGTCCATATAATGAGTAGGAGTGGTCACAGTGGAAGGGGTCGTTGGTAATGGAGAGCACAGGAGGGTGGGAGGGGGCTCTATCTGTTGCACACCGGGCTGCTTTTCCTGCGGAGAGAAAGCGTCCAAGAGTGGGCAGACTGAGAGCTGAATCGTGACACTTGGAAAAAGAGAAAAACGCTGAGAAAAGGAGGAGCGACGCCCACCGAGCAGCGTCTGGAGTGAGTGGTGACATCAAATGTGGAGCCTTCAAAATACAAGCAGCTCGTGACACGCACGGTGAACTGAGAAACCCCGACACGAGGAGTAAAAACACACATGTGGGTTTTTCTTTCTTTTCTTTTTTTTCGTCCCAAATCAAAGTGATGAGCATACAGATCGGGAGAGGAGCTTTGGAGCGCGGTGTGCGCAACAGAGCATGAGTGCCACTGCGGACACGGAGTGCGCTGTGAGCAGCTGTGTTTATTCCACGAGTAAAGTGTCTTTTTCCTGCAGCTCCAGCTGCTAAACACATTTACCTTTGAAGGAAACTTTTCGTTCCGATGGAAACTGTTTTGATAGTTATTAGGATTTTTTTTTCCATTCCTAAAACAACAACAAGTGTTGAGCTGAGGCGCGGATGAAGCAACAGATACGGAGCCGTGAATCTTTCATGTGCATTGTGTGAGTAACAACTCCAAACTCTCCGCCACTCTCCTTATCCGTGACCCTCCCATCTTAGGGACGACTCAGCACATTTGTGATGAGGATGTCCGCCGCTTGCGAGGAAGATCTGAGGGTTCCGCGGACAGTAAATTGATTTTTTTCTCTGTCTTCCTCTCTCTCCCGTGTGTGGAGAATGGCAGCTAAAAATATCCCGGAGATGTTAGGATGAACAGGTTGTTGTTGTTTAGCTGAAACTTAAAGACCCGCGGGAAGATGCTCGGCTGTAGGACATTTTAATTCTCCTCACAGACAAAGTTCGACTGGAGCAGGAAAGAAAAAGAAAGGATCCGTCAGTGCTGATTTCTGTGGTTCATTCCGACCTACGTAGAGAACAGAGAGCAACAGACGAGCTTGGAAGCAGCTTGTTGATGGCACTGCGCACCGGGAGGACTTGGTTTGGGCAGGTCTTGCGCAGGGTCTCTCGGCTGCAAGGCTCCTGGTCCAGGCGCTCGAGCAGTCTCTTGTGTCTCTCCACTAACCAGGAGCAGGATTTGGGCTTCTGCCACCGGGATCACAACAAGGCGGGGGGCTCCAACTCCGGCGTTCACCGGAGCGCACCTTTCCGCGCCTCCGCCTCCAGGCGCTGTCCACACGGCTATCCCCACGCTTGCTGCGTCTTCCCGGAGAATCCGAGGGGACATGAGCCCCTCGGTCGCCGGTTCCTGTTGGCCATGAAGCGGCAAAACGTGCGGACCCTGTCCCTGATCATTTGCACGTTTACATACCTGCTCGTCGGGGCCGCTGTCTTTGACGCCCTGGAGTCCGACTTCGAGATGCGTGAAAAAGAGCAGCTGGAAGCCGAGGAGAAGCGTCTCCAGGGGAAATATAACATCAGCGAGGATGATTACCGCAAACTGGAGAGCATCATCATGGAGGCTGAGCCCCACAGAGCCGGGGTGCAGTGGAAATTCGCAGGGTCATTTTACTTTGCCATCACGGTGATAACCACCATAGGTAAGCCTAAACTCTAACATGTGTATAAATCTTTACAGGCTCACTGTGATCTTTGACGAGGACAGTTACATTTTTAGGGCGATAAAGCGGGCTGTCAGCAACAATTAGGGGAGAGCAGGAACATATTTACAGTACACGTCTGTAGGTAAAGTTTTAAGCAACATGTTGCAGCACTCGCTCCCTGCTCCAAAGGGAACTGCGCGGTGAGAATGGAGCTTTGTGTGTCATCAGCCTCGTGAGATTTAAGCTCCTGAACATCACCTGTAGGTTAAATTACGCGGAAGAATGACGTAGCGTGATGTGCTCGAGTGCACTGTGGAAACATACATCATTTCTTTTCGTGCAGCTGCACAATTTGAACTTTTAACGATGCGTCACCAGGAAAGTCTGACAGAGCAGATCGAGCTCAGGCTGTGAGACACCCCGAGACTGATCCTGAGAGGCCGGAGAGACAAAGCTGTGGCTGGAAGAAGAGCAGCGGGCGGTGTGTTGGTGCTGAAAGAGACAGTTCCTCTGAGTGCAGCCGCAGGCAGGACGAGAGTTCAGCAACTGAAACCTGACGTCACTCCAAGAGATCCTGCTCAGATCCTGCTTTTAAAAAGAAACTGTGTGTTTTGTCCCTGTGGTTATATTTACATTAGGTTTAATGGTTTTCCACAAGAACAAAAAAAGGACAGTGAACACTTTGCTCCAACTTGGCTACAAATAAAGACAGCTGCAGGGCCCGCCCGTGGGCAAAAAACCATCCCACTTTCCTTCCATTCCTTGCATTTATTTTTATGAGTCTCCTAAAATGCAACATACATCACATCAGTCTGACGCCCCTGGCTCTGACGCATGTGCGTCATAAAGGTTTATTTCAAGCTGGGAAGGAGGGGTAAACCGAGTTTGTCTTTGTTTACGCTCCACCGTCGGAGTGCATTTTAGTAATGCATTTTAGTAATCATACTAACCATAATGTCAGATTGAAGCGACTTGTAATTAATTGCATTAATTGAAATGAACTCAGCAAAATAATAAAATAGAACAAATCCGACCTTTTAATCAGCCCAGATTGGGATTGTAAAAAGTCCGAAACTCGAAAACGAACTTCTTTTTACGCAGAGGTCACAGAGACTCGACATGGTGTTATTCAAGATGATTTTCTAATGGGGAGGAGGACTAATGCACTAGGCTCATAGCTGGCCAGGCAACACCTAAAAGAGACACCAGCACGGCGCAGTGAAGGTGGATCTACTTTTGTTTCCAGGCTACAACGAGAGCCATTGTAATATTCACGTCGGGTGAAGTGGCCACATTTACTGCAGCTCTGTGGGAGACAGCGCTCTTTATGCGTTATCATACTCTTAAGTTCCAATAGTTTAGAGGACAGCCCAACTTTTCTTTCTCTTTTTCCCCCTTTGCAACATGTGAAGGTCTGACCTTTAGTTGACTTCCTGGTGTGACGCGTTAAACTGAGGAAGAGGATGGGATTAGACACACAATTGTTTTGAGTCCACTTGTGCAGGATGGGAATTATATTATTGTATCAGCCTGCAGAAAAGAAAGAGACGAGAAAAGAACACTGTCCAAAAAGTTATTGATTACAAGAGCTTCATTTCATTTTAGAAATGCACCACAAAGAGAAAGCTGACACAGTCAGGCCGTTCTGCAAAAAGTCGCTAAAATCAGCATTGACTTATAATTGCGGTGCTCTAATGTAAAACACCAGGCGAACAGAGCATTCAGCGGGACTTCAGTTTGATTATTCATTTAAAGGTACATTTAAAAAAAGAAGGATACAGATAAATGTTCCTCTTTTAGACCCCCCCCCCTCCCACCACCTTTTTTTATTTTAAAGGATTAGTTTTGCGTTAGTCTTGTGATGGTTTTGTTGTTTTCACCACGATAAACCACAAAACAACAATAAACTGACCTCACTAACAAGTACTGTATGTGTACTTCACACCTGCCATATATTACTTATTTTTGAATTGGAACGCTTCTTTAAATCAGATTGGATTTATTTGCACTTTAGATGACATATGTAAATATTCTATTCTATTCTATTCTAAATTCATGTAGTACTGTGCAAAAGCTTTTTCATATTTTACAGTTCTACTTTCAAGGGGTCAGACTTTCTTGAATCTTTCTGAAAGTGTTCTTGAGATTAAGTCCTCCAGCCTTTCTGAAGGTCTTTCAAAGTGTTTCTTTTGATTATAAGATGAACACAAGAGACAACTTAGCAAAGTACATAACGTGCTCCTGTTTCTTTTGTTGAATCTATAGAAAATGCCAAAGATCACTCAGTTTAAATGGAATACAAAAGTACTTTTGCACCAGAAACTGGAGAAGTGAAGGGCAAAAGAAGAAGCATCAGACCTAAAAATTATCTACAGCAGATGAACAGTGTTTGAAAGTCACGCCCTTAAGAAGCAGAAAAACTAAATGAAAGAGCTGACACAGAACCTGACACATACATCTGGTCCTCCAGTTCATCTACTGTGAACTGGTGGCTGTCAAAAACCCAGGAAGGGCAACAGGGAGAAAAGGGTGATGTCTGCCAAATTACATAAGAACCAAACAGAAAATCAGCTGCAACAGGTCACATGGACTGATGAATCCTAATTTGACATTCTTGATTCAAACCCTCATCAGTATGTAAGCAGGAGGTCACGTACAACAGTGACTTTAAGCATGACAATCATCCCAAACTGCACTACTGGTGTAAAAGCACACCTGGACAGTAAAACACAGGGGAACAGTGTGGATTGGATTGACCTCCACAGAGGATCCACCTCAACATTATTCAAGCACTGTGGGTTTTCTTGAAAGAAAAACAAAAGACAGTCGACATCCAAAGAAGAGCTTTGAAAGTCATTCAAGAGGCCTGGAGAATTATTCTTGAAGGCTACTTAAAGAAATTACAGGAAAACTTGGCTGAGAGAGTCGAGGCAGCGTTGAAGAATAAAGATGACCGACTTTCAAGTGCAAGTGAGAATTGCACATTTGCTGTTTTTGTTTTATCTACTGTATCTACATTTATGTTTGCTATAACTCACTGCACCAATTTCCCATTTTTATAGTAAAATATTTTTAAAAATGTAGGTGGAACCAAGACTTTTTTCACAGTACTGCATAATATATATAAATGATTAACATAACTAATATGATATAGTGTATTTACTGGCATGGTACCCTGATATTTACCTTTTTAAAAGAAATTTGTGTCAAATTAATGAAGGTAATTAAAATTTGTTTCCAGGATTTCTAAGGGTCATATATCTGATCTCTCTGTGCCACAGAGCTCCACTCTGGGGTTGCCATGTTAGTGCTTGTTTTTGTGTCAAATATGTCTCAATCCAGAGTTAAAAACGGTCCAAAAACAAATGCACAAATCCATCTGATTTACTGAAAACCACCAAACAGCTGTCTCAAGACATCATTTTTTATGTTAGAAATTAGTCATCCACCCAATGATTGAATGCTCCTAAAATGTACATCTGACCTGAAAGCAAACGACTCTGTGCTTTAGAGCACAAGCCTGCAAGATCACCAAACTTTGCTTTTTCATCAAGCAAGAGAGTTCTTCTTCTTCTCTGAGAAAAAACAAAACAAAAAACAACGATGAAGCACAGACTGGACAAAATGGACAAAGACAGTTTTCATTAGATGAAACCGTCACCTGGTCATAGCGAAGTTCAGTGAGTTTGATATGTTCAATACTCTCAATGATATTACAGTAGGTTTTAGTCAGATGGCATTTATTTTCTTGGTGCCTTGGGGACACTGTACAACTGGAAAGTCAAGGCAATCACAGAAAAGTGTCTTGATGTGAGTTTGATATCTTTTTTGGTGATTTTCCAGCCACTTCAGACTTCATAAGGTTTCATCTGACACTCCAAGTAGGTTAAATCTTACTTGTGGGTTGTATTTGACCCAGCCGTTTGTGCCTTTAGGCAGTGGAGCTTTGATTTTTCTTTTCTCTCTCTGATTTGATGAGTTCACTCAATGATTGGATGGCACGCTCAAAAATAACATTCATCTGACAATGGGAACTTTAATTCTTACACTCCTACCTGTTCTCAGAAATAATGAAGCCCGTTTTGTTTTTCCAGTCATTATTTCAGCCGCTAAAAGTGGAAGTAGTTTTGTGTGAAATGAAACTGCTGCAAAGATAAGGGACCAATTTGGGCTGTGTCAACTATGAGCTGTTTGTGGAAGCTAATTAAATTCAGTGTGAACACGAGGGACTATGCAAGTGAGGTACAAAGATCTCTATTAAGATATGTGGTACTACACGTTGTTTTTCTTGGTTATGTACATATACAGGGGTATAAAACACACACTATACACCGAATATCACATGACCGTATCGATAAGACAGGTTACCATCTTACTGTAAAACCTGCCAGCATTCAGCCAGGTACATTCATCATTGGCTCACTATAAATCTTTAAAGATCTTTCTATTAATATCGATGCATACCCCATGAGTCCAACTGCATCACATACTCATTGGTGATAAAGTAAAAGAATCACCCATAAAGTGAAGTGAATAAATATTATATAAAATTATATATTGTATTTACTACATGAATCCCAAAATATTGTAGTAATTTAATTTAGTTTTCTTTTTTTAAAGAAAAATCTTGTTTTAAAGGAAAATAATTACTTCAGTATTGATCATCATTTAGAAAAAGTGTTTTGGTTAACATGAGCGAACAAACAAGCTGTGGGAGGGCCACTGCAAAGAAACCAAAGCAATTAACCTTCTCACTTTGCTTGGATTTTATATTAAAAATAAATTCCTGAGATAAATTGAGATAAATTGCCAATTCCCAGGTTACTGAACCTTTCATAAAATGAAAAAGAGGGAAATTGATTGTATAAGTTTAAATTTGTATCATTTTTGTATCAAAAACATATAAGCCTGTTAGGATAGATGCTGTAGAGGTCTAAAAACTCAGGTATCAAATATGATATACTTGGAGTTATAGGGTCAAAACTGAATAGATACAG